ATCAAACTTTTACAGTTTCATCACTCAATGACCGTTCTAACATCACTGGCGGTTTCAAAATTGTAAATATTGCTGACGTCGTATTCCTCCGCGCTGTTGTCTCGAGGGTCAGGAAGTAAGGGATGCACTAAAGTGCGCTCAAAGCCGTCCATGATAAAGGAGTAGGTTATCTCCCCTTCCTGTAAGTATGATGTGTCTATGACTAATTCACTCAGTTTGATGTCTGTACAAACCACACCTATAAACTCGCTGGCGGACGTCACAGTTAGGCATGCTGATAAAATCAGACCTGTAAAAGAATACAATGACTTATGACGACCAAATACTTACCAGAAAACTCTTTTCAAATAAAAAGAAAACTAAGTACATGTACTTTTACAAGAATTGTGCTATGATTTATTCTATTATGTAAAGAAAAATCTACCGTTTTTGGAGAAATAGTCCCTATATGGCAAGGTAAAGAGAGGTTTGACAGCTACAGGATTGTTGGTATAGGTATAAAAGGATCCTAAAGCTTCGGGGAGGTAAGTCACATCAGGTACTGGCATAAACTGACCAGGCTTCAAAGAATATTTAAATAGCATGAAATACAGCTTATCGGGTTGTTGCACTTGGTTATGAAAATGTAATACAACTTATATTGAAAATTTCATGTTTTTTTGGCTTTAAAAAGTAGATGTCTTTTAACAAGCAATGTGTATTTTGATAAAAACTCAATTTCACCTAAAGCAACAAACACACAACACGGCTTACTTTCACAAAACATTAAAGGAAAGAAGACTCTTTGTAGAATGTACGAAATAAGAATAATCTAAACATATTTCGTTTTAAATGACTAGACATAGTAAAATATTAACAAAAGAACGGAATACCTTGACATCTCCATAAGTAATGTTACTTTCGCTTTGTTTGGATATATTCCTCAGTAATGTTTCAGCGGAAATAGAAACATCTCTAAATAAAACAATGAAAATGAAAATATCCATTCTGTCATATTATTCTTCACGTGTAACTTTGTGTCTCAAACTATTTTCATAATTGAAGTTTAACATTGTGAATGTTTCATACCTATTCCAAAGGTGTGTATTACAACCTTATTCCCTAGTTGGCTGTTCCTCTCATGAATAACTTTTAAAACATCCTCTGGACCAACGTTTCGGCCGTCAGTTAAGAACAAGATGATTTGATCTGTGAAAAATAATAATAATAAAGAAAGAATTCAAATTATATATAGAATGGGTGGAACCTTTTTCTTGAGAATTTCGTTATTTTTACTGTTTACGCATTGCCATTGGTGTGATGATTTACCTCTGTTCGGGCTCATAGAGGAGGTTTGGAAATAATCAAAAGCTTTAGAAAACGCTTTGGAGTAATTTGTATTCCCTTCAGAGGTTTTGGTATTTATGAAAGATTTTAAAACTGATTTGGTTTTTCGGGTGACGACAGCAAGTTGGTTTCCGTAGCAAGGTTGGTTGCTGGATGTTGGAACATAGGCATTGTCGTTGAACATCACTATACCAACCTTTGACAAAGAAAACATATGAAAAATGAAGCTCTGAACATTTTAAGTAACACTTGTCACATATTAAAAAAAACGAGAAAAAACCTAAACAAACGATATTTTCATTGTGGTCAAAGGTTAAATTTTCAAGTTATTGTCTTAAACCTTGCTTTATGTAAAGAAACATCTTTTAAATTATTGAGTTATAAATTTTGAAATTTGTCAAACTGGAGCAAAACAAAAAAATAGTTCTGAATTTCGTATTCACTCTCATCTAGTTACCGGTAATTCCAAATTAGAAAATGACATTACCCTGTCATTGCTATTCAGTGTTTCTAGTACAGTATTAGCAGCGTCCTTCGCTTTCTGTAGATAAGTCCCTGACATGGATTTCGAAACATCAACAAGTACCACAACATCCTTAGGAACAGGAGAGGCTCCAGTTTTATAAAAAGGTCTGTGTTTTTTAAATTATCATAAATCATAAATAAGATCGATACTTAGAGGCTCTAGTATTAAAAAGTATGTATATTTGAAATAATCAATAAATCAAAGAATTGGGATATTGATATACCACAATTTGTAGATTTAAAAGTATAAATATGCTTATAAGTCAATCTTAATTATAAAACACTCATGATAGGAGACCAATCTCAAAGATCGTGATAAATACTTTAAGTAACTTTTCAAATAATGTAGATAACTAACAATGCAGAAATCTATGTGAAAGGTTTGTTTTTATGTCTGTAAAGAACCATATTTTAAAACCCATATTGTGGCTATCATGAAAAAACAGTCTAACCTGTATCTAGGATCGTAGGCACTACAATCTGACAACTTCGTAGCTGGATAATTAATTAGAACACCGTTTTCCAATCCGACATACTGCCAGAGAAGGCTCGGGTTGTTCTTGTGGTTTGAGTTCATTGCTTGAAGAACTTTATTTGTTGGATATTTCTTTGGACGTGATGACAGCCCGGATGTTGTTACACACATATTTTCATAATCAACCTTTTAAAAATTATACATATGTTTTATAAATGTTAGTATTAAAATCATGAAAAAATCATAATTTAAAGGAAAAAAAAGTTGTTAATCTGTATTGTAAATGGTCATACAGTAATTTACCTTTGCACGGAATCGACTGTCATATGAATATTCTGCTTGATCACAACAGTCTCGTGACGTCATTTCTGATGAAAATAATTTATACTCATCCTCAATTGTGGTCTTTAAAGATACAAGAGCTCGTTCCATTTCTTCAAATTTGTATTTCAAAGCATCAGCAGTCTAAAGTAGGATTAATTGAGTACTAGAATTATTTCACGACCTAGCAGTTCTTTCGAGCTCGAACTACTTGAAATCAAATTTATTCGTACATTTCGTAAACGTGTTTTGATTTAAAAGTTCTTATTTTGAAAATACCAATTTATAAATATAATTTGAGAATTTGTACAAAATGTATAGATCAACTTGACAAGCATAAAAGTTCTTAAAAAATTGATTTTGAGAGATTTGAAAAAAATCTTTACATTTAAGTTCAAAATAATAATAAATGATTTTCACATTCTATTTGGATATTTGAAAAATTCATCACATTCTTAATATATGCTCTGAAATGAAAGAAAATAAAAACAGACCTTCTTTGTGACAGTCGGATAGTCTACCATAGACTCTGTGTACTGAAGGCGTTTGAAATGCTCCTGAAAAAAGTATAAATTTTGTGTAGTTGTATTGTCTTCCCACTTCCCACTTATTTCTAAACTTGAAATTTTAAAAATTGTGGAAAAGGATTTGTGAGAAACACCACTATGTTTCACACTGATTAAAATTTAAGCAATGAGTAAAAGAGATTTTTGGGCTTAAGGTACCTGTAGTATATGACAATCAATATTCAAGTAATTTCTATATGACATGTAAAACGTTGCAATGTTTGATATTTTTTCCATTAAATTTTTTATATTGTTTTTTTTATTTATATTCTATTGTTTTTCATTTGTATTCTATGATTTTTCATTCAGTTTAATTTTGAAACTGTTTGAGTTTATCGTTACCAGCAAACTAATACATGTACACAATATGATCACAATTTACATCAGTTTTCAAATGAAATTAAGATTTGTAAATTCATTTTGTTAATCGACTTATTAATTTCATTCATTATACACTTTAAACACTTAAGTGAAAATTGAAATTCTGTCAGCTGAACATGAATTTCTGTAATTCCATTACTTTTACATGTAAATTCTAACAATGCCTTTAGGATTGGTAAGTAAAAAATAAAAAAAAATTAAGCTGATCTGCTTGTCTGTGGTGAAATACCTGCATCTGCGTGTAACCCACGTCCTCTATTACTCGCTGTAATTCATCGGCTAGTATATTTCCATTTATTTCAGCCCATGCACAATCCAGGAAATAACAAAACAGAAGGAAGGTTTTTAATATTTTCATGTTGAAGTACAGAATTCTGAAACAAACAATAAACAACATTAGTAAAAGATACCGATATATTATTGTATTTTGTGCTTTTGTAAGGCAGAATATATTTGGAGAAAACATTTATTTAAGGAATCCTGAACATATACGACCATGCAAAGAAAGGGATCATTTTTCAAAACCCCTAAAAGGATCCATTGTTAAGGAAAAAAAACCCAAATTTTATTTACCTTACGTATTCCATAGATTTTAAGTGGAAAGCCTAAATGAAAAAGTAAAAGATTATTCAAGCTTACATAAATTTCTGATTTTCCTGTGAATTGGATAAAGATCACACTGAAAATTGAATTAGTCACCATGACCTAAAAAAATAATCAGATTATTGTCCTCCAGATGGGGTAGTTAGTCAATTTGAAATAGTTGAGTCATTTTGACAACTTAAAAAATCATACTGACTGACTGATAGTCTACTTTGACTAATTGAAATACCATGAGTACACTATAAGGATTTCATTTGACTGTATTCTTGTCATAATGATAATTGATATTCAAAATGATTATCATTTCATATCAAAATGACTTTCAATTAGTTATATTTCTAGGCATTTTGACGATATTGAAAATCATGATGACGATACTGTTAAATCATTTTGATTATCACACATCAATGCCCTTCAGATAAAAAATATAACAATTATACAACTAATGTTTGATTTTTTATTATAAAATTTCTGTTTCATAAATATAGTTTTTTAAAAAAACCCCAAATAAAAAAAGTAAAAATATCAGCTTAATAAAAAACATAAGATTTGCATATAAACATTAAAAAAGTTTAAAGAAATCATAAAACCTACGTATAAAGCATACATATACATTTATATACTAGTATTTTCAAGCAAGTTAATTTTACTGTTTGTAAATGATTTCTAATAAATAAAAAAATAGCTTGGGACAGTTCTATTCACCCTTTCAGTTGTTGCTTTATTTTCCTACCTCAGAGGAATATATTTACTGGTTGTTTTTTTTTTATTACAAATTCTTTTTCACAGGTCCTGCAATGAAGAATAGTCTTTATAATTTAAAAAGTTGCTTGATACTAGATAGCTAAAATAAAATAGGCCTATATGAAAAAAATTTATTTATATTAAAAGGAAATCAAAATATAAATATAGGAAATAGATATATATGCAGTATTAAGAAGAAAAAAATGGGGACCATAAATTAGTGTTTAAAACATACAATTAAAATAATAAAAAATTACATTTACCTTAGCAAACATGGGATAGGAATGAAATCATCATTGGTTCTGTTTTTTTCTTGTTTGGCTGTTTTTAGAAATGGGGCAAATACAAACCATTGTGATTTTATTTTAAATGCCTTTATCTTATACATGTATTATAAACAAAATACATGGAATAATACGAATAATACTTAGTGAAGCAGGCCAGTATAGTAGTGGAGAGTTAGTACATAAACATCAGGGACTCGTCAATTTTTATTTTCTTTTATAAAATAGAATGTTAAAAATAACAAGTTCTATGTAAATCACCATTATACTTAAAAAATAAGCTATCAGTATGTAATCCTACCTTATTTTTTTATTATGGTAACATCTTCGTGATCCTAATGTGGTTTTTATCTTGTCATTTCTAACAAGGTATTGTTTGTTGATTTATTTTTCCATTCAGTGGTAGTTGAGAGTCCATGCCATACCTGTGAGTTGTAAAAGGAAATACCTATTTAATAATCGTTAATTTTAGACCAAGTTCAATTTGAACTGTTTCTAAACTGAATATGCAAAAATCTACTTAACACAATCAACCCACAACCTAGCCTACATGTATCATTATGATAATAATGTAAAATACAATAATTATTGAAGAAAAATATCGAGTACTTTGTTAATTATAATATTATTTCTCGAGAACATTTTTTATTAAGTTTATAAAGAATTATTTGTCTAAAACAAAAAAAAACAAAAAATGACATACCATCACTTGTGTTTTCCTGGGGGGAAAAGGCACGACGCTATTGTTTTTTCCCGCCAAGCAATATAAGCAAAATGACCAGCATACAAGTCAAAGTTTACCAAAGACTGGTAATGTTGAGGAAAAATAGTCAAATTATGTATTGAAAAGAACAAGAAAATGACTTCAAATATGGTCAACGTGACAAATTTATGTTTTCAGTGCATTAACTTGGCGGAAATGTCTGTTAATTGTTTGTTATATGCCTTATAAGAATCAAAATTTAAAATATCTTACTTTACTCCTCAAAAAATATTAACAGTAGTGACGAAGAAACTTTAGGAGGCGTGCAATAATACCGGTGTATTTGAGACGTGATGTAAACAGATGTTGATACTAAAGAATTCCCAAAGGGAAATTTTGGAAAATTTGGGTAAAAATTTTTTAACAAAATCAACAACATAAAAACTTACATTCTAGCTTTATATACAACCAATCCCGTCCAAAAATCGAAGCCCAGACTCTTTGATTTCATTGACAGGTGCTTTTTAAAATAAAATCTTACCAATTTTTGTCACTTGCAAAATTATTTTGTAAAAAACATTCTAATTGTACCCACAAGTACTCTGAAGTTGATATTGAAAAGATGATTGAGCCCGATTGACAATA